GATTTGAAAACTAATTTAGCAATTGAAATTATGTTTATTTGCAAAGTATTTGAAGTATTGTTAAATGATTTGATAAAGTTTTGTTTAGATTTATTTAAAGGTTTGAAATTGATATTTTGTTTATTTGTGAAATATTTGAAATCACGTTTTGGAGGATTGATAAAGTTTGTTTTAAATTATTTCAATGTTTTGAATTAATTTAATATTGAAAGTAAGTATTTGTTTTGCATTTTATTTGAAAGAGTATTTGTTTTGCATTTTATTTGAAAGATATTTTGACTGATTTGATAGGGCTATCCGGATATGCCATGATTTTTGTTTTGAGGAATGTTTTGCTTATTTGGGGTAGTAGCCTAATTTGGAATTGATGGATTTCTGTTCTGGCTTATTTGTGGGAAGACACTTTTGTGGTTTGACATTTCTTGAGAATGAAGATTCATGTGTGTGTTATTCACTCACATGGCCTCACACTTAAGTAACTCTGTTCTGGTCGATATTATATCGACAACTCTATTATGGTCGATATTGTTTCGACAACTCTGTTCTGGTCGATATTGTTTCGACAACTCTATTCTGGTCGATATTAATTCGACAACTCTGATAGAAGCTTCTGATTGATTTGGCGTTACTGACGGGTACCCACATATGTTCTGTACGCTACCCAAATAATGCAACCTTCCACTCTGATTTTGAAAGTATGAATGAATGTAAGATTGTTTTGAATGTTTGAATGATTTAGTTATTCGAAAGTTTGAAAGTTGTACCAAATGTTTTAAAAGGAACTTTGAAAGTTTTGATTGGAAGAAAGTTTGTTTTGAAGGATTTTGAGTTTGATCAAATGAAAGTTTATTTTGAATGAATGAAAGTTTGTTTTGAAAGAATGAAAGCTTGTTTTGATTGACTGAAAATTTCACCTTATTTGAAGACTATGTTTCTGAAAATTTAGTTTGTTTTGAAAGTTTTGAAAATTGTATTAAATATTTTAAAGGACTTTAAAAGTTTTGATCTGTTCGTATTTTTGTTTACGAATGTTTTGAAAGGAAAATGAATTTTGAAATTCGATATGGAAATTGCTTATTGAGTATTTTTGTTTTCCTAAATGTTTTTCAGATGAAGGATTGAATGATCGTTCTAGTAGAAGGTGAAGTTTAACATACTGGCATGAGTTTGAAAGTCATCCCCCTATTTAGTTAAGTTAGTTTATAAAAATTCTGTAAAGAAATTGCTTCCACTGAATAATTTTAGTTCTTAAGGTTTCTTGAAAGTTACATTTCCGCATTTGGTCAGAATGACCGTATTAGAAAATACGGGTTGTTACATTCTGTGATCCAAACAGTTGAAATTCTGAAAACGACTTTTTTATGTTTTCAGTGTTTTTAGATTCAGAATTTGAAATTTTTAAGATGTAGGATTACATTAAAAAGATAAAAAACTTTGATAAATTATATTACTTCATATAATAAACTCATTTTATGCTTGTTAAAATTGAAACATGTAAAATATAATGTATTCTAAATTATATAAACTTGTAAAATAATAATTATACAAATTCATTAAAAAATGTTAATAAATTAATTAATATAAGTTTAGATTAAACTAAAATTTAGTATGTAACTACTACTAGTTTACAAATATATTGCTAAACAAACATTGAATATTTTTTGAATTGATATTCAATTACCAAATATGCTACCAAACGCATATCTAAAAACACTGAAAACGAAGAATACAACTCTGATTTTCATTGAATCCCTCGTTTTTAAGTTTTTGTCTTCTGATTACCAACCAAACTCAGCTTAAAAGATTTAAAGATGGGTAAATTTCCTACGGCACAAAACCTTTTATGTTATTTTATTATTACTTATTTATTTTTTTTAGTTTTGCAATTTCTCCCGCCAAAAAAGTTCTCTTCGTTCTCAATTCAGTCTTCCTTTTCCTTTTTGTTTTTCGGAAACATAAAATCGGAGATTGAATGGATCCGATCCGAATTTGTAAGACCCGACCCGACCCGGTTTAAATATAGCTATAAATTAAAGTTCGCGCGCTCGTTTGGAGTAGACGCTCAGGTTTTCCTGTTTTATAAAAAATGGAGGAAATGGACGAAACTGAAGCGGTGCCTCAGGTTGATGATTTTTCTTCCTGCTCGTCTCTCTACATTTATCTGTTTCACAATTTTCTTCTGCTATGAGGAATCGAGGAACGCGAGATTAATCTAAAGCATGATTATTCTTCTCTATTGTATCTGGATGGAACGAGAAAAATTAGAATGCAATTTCGATCATCTCTGCATTACTCTGTTTGAAAATTTATATCTGGTTAATGAGAAATGGCTGAAAAGGAAAGCAAATGAAACTGTGATTGGCTTGTAGTGTAACTGTATGAAAATCGAAAAGCGAGAATGCAATACATTTGAAGGAGCCTGGACTATCGATTCTGCCTTTTCGAATTTTATTTTGGATTTTGTTTTCTTCGATGTAAGTTAATAAGGTTTGGATGCTACTGAGAAAATTTAGGAGCATAGATAAACGTGTAACAGTTGATTCTTTCGGACATTTGAACCAGATTTATTAGTTTCATTGAGCACAGCAAATCACGTTAATTTTATCTGTATTTTATCTTCTAAATTAGGAAAAGCTAGAAATAGAGATGATATGGAGACTGGTTTCTTCATAATCTATGTATACAGCGAATTAATTTCATTTTGATTTAATTAATGCTTGCAGCCATTCAATAACTCAACTAATCACAATTCTACTCTAATTATGCTTTTCAATGGATAGATATTGTTATCTATTGCGTCGAACTTGTCACATGAAAACTTCTTGCCTTTGAACTTCACCGTATCTTGAAATACAAGACTTCAAGTGACCAAAATTTAGCAAATTCTAATATATTCCTCGAGTTTCCTTTTTATGTAAATCAGTTTCTGTGATGATATGTAACAAGTTCTAGATCTGGTAAGAATTAGATGAAAAAGAACTGATGGTGCATCATGAGAAATTGGTGGAGAATTTGTCCATCTTCCATTATATCGAAGCTATAGACTTCATCCGCTGCACATTCTTTCTAATAAGCGATTTCACTTCATATATGCTGACAACTCTGAATTGAGAAATGTTCTTCACTGGTTTTAGTAGTTTATCACCACCTTTCTCACTGTGTTGCCCCTTTTATTCCCCTGGGTTGAACAACAGATATACATGGCTTGTGTTAAACATGGACAGAGGTGAGGATTTCCCGACCATACAAATCTTGGTTTCTACCTTTGTTTGGTTGTTTGTAAGTATCAAGAGTATGTGAGGGATTTTGTATGTTATTATGCATACTGATACTAACTAGTGGCAATAAATATGTGACGTAAAATGCTTGAACATATTTACAAGAAACTAGTAGTCTTATTCTTAGGTATTTACCATAAAAAAGCTAAAACGTGATTTCTTTTCATAACTTTTGTAAGCTCCAAGAGAAACAAAGTAAATAGTTGAAGATAAGAAAGTAAGGGCAAAACAGAAAAAGGTTCCCTTGGTAAAAGGAGGAGATAAATGTACATTACATGTTGCTGCATTGATCACATGCTTGAATTGTAAGACATGCATGACACAGCAAGTTCTCTCCTCAGAGTGGGAGTTTCATACTATGATTCTAGCATTCGGCAGCTTCATGTGCTGGAAGTTTGGGAAGACGGTAGCATGGACTTTCCTCTGATTGAACTAGGTACGAGCTCAAGTCTCTTTGTGACTTGTAAGGATGTAAGCTTTCTGATACGGTTTAATTCAATTTGGTGTGTTTCCTGATAATATTGCTGGAAACTTTAAGGAGATGTAGTAATAATTGCTTTTGTACTGGTCCCACTGTGTACATGCGTTTTTCTACAAATTTCTTTGGCTGCAGTTATTAAATCTTAATATTTGTACATCATGTTTGCTTCTTCTTTTCCTTTTTTTTGTCGATTCAGTGAAATATCAAGCTCAGCCCCTTATGATATATACCAGCACTAAAAGTGAAGAGTCTTTCTTGGCTGCTTTGCAACGGAGTGGTATGCTGATTTTTACTTAGTTTATTAATGGAATTTCATCCTTCGGTCTTTGTTTACACTTCTAAGCAATGCAGACGGCATGTCTGAGGCTCCTACTTTGAAGCTTGTGAAGAGTTCAATTTTCAGCTATGAACAGGCCTGGCACAGGTATCAAGCACAGACATATTGTTTGATTTTCAGTAATTATTAGAAAATATTTGAATATTGCTGGATGTTCCGGATAAAATGGAACTTGTATTTAGAACAGGCTAGTTGGATCCCTTCTCATCAACCCTATTACCGAGTTAGTTCATTTATTGGCTCCCCTCAATATTTGCTGCGCAGATTGATATACCTACGGGTAACAGGAATGGATGATGGATTAAACATTAAGGAGAGAATTTGTTATGTAAGTTGATTACTGATAGATATTTTTCAGACCTTTTTACTTTTATATTATGGCTATTGTTGATGTAGAATTTCAGTTGTATATCTTAAAGCAGTGCTAGAGCCTACTGAGCTGGCGATCCTATTCTGTAAATATTTGAATGAACTGAACTTAATCATTGTAGAGACTAAGGTTGGAGAGAATCCAATGTTCTATATTCTCATTATTAAAGTCTCTACATGGTATTAGAGCCCACAAGCTCAAACGAGCATTCGGTTCAAAATGGGATCCGATCAAAGATTGGTGAACCCAAAAGAGGCACCATTTGAGGGGTATGTTAAGGATCCCACATTGATAAAAGAAGGGACCTAACAATGGTTTATAATAGACATGAGCTACTCCTCTCATTGCCAATTAGTTTTGAGATGGAACCCCATGAATATTGATAATCATAAAATGGTTTAACTTGCTATTGGAGTACGTTAGTCTGAATTACGACATAATCTATTAGAATAGCTAACAGACACACCATCAAACTCTGCTCGTTCTAATATAATTTTTTTTTTGCTCATTCTTAGAGCAACCTTTCTCCATATATTTGTCCTTTTTGTGTGTATTTAACCTAAAAAAGGTCTAATGTTTATCTGTTTATTATTTTATTTTCCTTTCATTATTGAGTTAGTGGATAACCTTAGTGGCGATATGAGATTTTTTATTCCGTTAATATTTTTCTTTCATCTAAAATTGGCTTTCTGGTTCCATTACAGTAGCAATTTAATTTTTATCTGAAATTGAACAATTATTTTGTTGGGGGGTGGGGGTGTTTCCTCCTTTCCAACAAGTATAGTTGAGTTCTATGATGGACACGGGAAGTGATATTCAAATTCGTGCTAGTGGGGGTCTTCTTGCCATACTGGAGAATGAAAGGATCGTAGAGTCGCTTGAACAAAAGGAACTTGGAACTTCATCAATAACTATTGATTCTGTCATAGAAATTTCATTGTATCCTTTTACCGTTATCTTGAAAAGCCAGTTACTTTTCTGTGTTTGGATTTAAGAAACAAAAGAAGTTTATATTAATCCCTCCTTTACATATAAAACAGAAACAAATTTCTAAAACTTGATGCAACAGCTTTGGAAGCATTGCAGATATTTCAAACTGACAAACATCCGAGCCATATGGGCATTGGAAGAGCTAAAGAAGGGTGATTCGAGAACTTACTCGTCTGTGTTTCTCTGAAGGAAACTAAACCGATATTTCTTGTTGCAGGTTCTCCGTGTTTGGGATGATGAATAAGGTTTGTATCTGTCGGTTTACTTTAAATTTTGGAGCTCACGTACACCGTCAGTTAATTCAATCTCCTCATTTCAGTGTGTAACACCTATGGGCAGACGCCTCTTGAGGTACACATTTTTTACTATGAATTTACTTACAGCCTTTTTGTCCATATATCTCTTCTAATCCAAAAACTTTGATAATGGATGTTCTCATTTAGAAATTGGTTCCTGAGGCCATTACTGGATCTTGAAAATTTGAACAAGCGACTTAATGCTGTATCCTTTCATTCTTTGACGGTATAGAAGTGTCGAACAGTTTCCAGAGATGATGAATGCATTATTAGAGTCTTGAGATATGAAATGCACAAGGACCGTACGGCTTACCCTTAAAGTGTGTAAATGAATATATATTATGGGTTAAATCGCAAGTTTAGTCCATAAACTTTTATGGTTGTGTCTAATAATTATTTGAACTTTAGAAAACGTCCAATAGGTCCCTAAACTTTCAATTTTGTGTCTAATAGTTCTCCATACCTCTAAGGTTGTGTGTCTAATAAGCTTCTAAACTTTCAAAAAAAGATTTTAGGTCCCTAAATTTTTAATTTTATGTCTAAGAGGTCCTTATTAGGATCTTAAAAAATATTGAAGGGCCAAAAAACTATTAGACATCAAATTGAAAGTTTAGGGATTTATTGGACTCTTTAAAGTTCAAAGACTAATAAGACACAAAATTGAAAGTAAGGATATGTTAGACACTTTTCAAAGTTCAGAGGCTACTAGACACAAGTCTAGCCTATATATAATATTGTAAAATTATGGAAAAAAAAAACAGTATGAAAATGCCTTTCTTCTTTAACACATTAAAGATATCATTTTTTCTTTCTTCCAATGAATTGATGCATTCCTTACGCGAAACTCTAAAGATTGTGAAAGACATTCCCCATATACTGAAGGTAGTAGAGCTTCTTCTATTCTTCATAATTTATACTCATCAAATACATTGGCAGCATACATGATAGAAAGTCGTTTTTTGCTTGTAGTTGCCTTAATATGTTTGTAAATTTTTTTCATGGAAGAAATTCAATTCTCCCAGTTCAACATATTCTTCTGGTGATTGGACAGCATTCTTGAAGGTATGTTAACCTCCTCAAATGCTATGATATTTTGACTCTATTACCTGACTAATCAGTAATTGTGCAAACTACTCGGGTGAGGTTGGGATGATTTTTGAGAAAAAGTATTTTTGAGTGAAACATTTTTGTATGCACTTTTGAGAGAAATCTAATTAAATGTTTCATGTAGATTTAAGTATTTTTTATTGGCTTTTAGAATTTCTCTCAAACTACTTCCAGTTTTTCTTTTAATAGGTTAACACTCTTTAAAATTTTAACCAAACATTGCAAATTTAAATTAAAAAAAAAAACTTTTAGTCCTCTATAAACACTTTAAAAGTGACACTTAGAAGTTAGAACTATGATTTTGTGGTTGCTCAAGTGTCAGTTAAACATCCAAGTCAAAGGTATGAGAAAATCGTTGCATCATTTTGATATGATTGCTATTAGGTTAAGTTGGGGATATTATTAGGGTATTAAGGGTATATTAGTAATTGGGTTTGGGAATTGGTTATAAATAGAGGGAGGGGGAAAGGGTGAAGGTAGGCCATTGGTAGTATGGTTTAGGCTTGAGTATTCTTACTCAAGAGAGGGGAGGGTCCAAGTACCTCGAATTACTTGGTAGTCATTGTAGTTCTTATATCTTATTATATTTCAATATATCGTGAGTTGTTCGGGTTCATCACATTTTTGTTTACATGTCTCAACTGTTTCTCATCATTAGTTTGCTTCTGACTTGTGCGTCACGTTTAAATTCTGCCGTTTATCGAATAAGTTGCCATCTTTTACTGTTAAACTCATTACACAATCTTTTCAAATCATTATCGATATGAGGTAGGGAAAACAATTTTTCCTTGAAAGCATGGTAGAAATTCTTCCATCTCGTTAATGGTATTTCCAGTTATCATTTGATTTTATAAGATGAGGAGAAATTGCAAAGTAAATTCAGGGGGAGTTGGCAGTCAAGTTTAGTCTATTGAAAAATAAAATAAAATTAAAATATGACAATCTTGAATAGGGAGTGATGACTGGAAATTGTTGTTTTCTCTTTTTGAATTTGATAGGAGAAAACATTTTTATAATCTTTCATCTCTGCCCCTCCATATTGTGGACCGATTTGTAATCAATAACTTTTTTAACCTATTATTTTGATGTTCTGTTCTTCGTCTTTTTTCTACTGTAGAGTGTTTGCTCACTTTTGCACGTGAACAAGATATTTGAAGTTGGCATGTCAGAGAACCTTAGAGATAACATGAAGTACTTGAATTTGGACATGGTCGAGAAGGTACCCAATATTAGCTTTGATTCACTTTCTCTTTAGTCAAAATAATATTTGATGAGTCTTCTGTAAATCTTTGTTTATTGCAGGCAAATTCATGCATTACCACAGAGTTGGCTTATGTTTATGAGTTGGTTACTATTTCTTACTTCTCTGGTCTTCTATTTATATTTCTGTTTAATCTGCTGACGTTTCTGCAATAATGGAGAAAGAAACTATGGATTTCTTCTAATAATTTGGGTCGTGGAACTAGTCAGCATCCCTTCACCATGCTCATCAAATGTACATTACTATGATTGGCTTTTCTACAAGCGCATTGGATTGACATTTAAGCACTTCTGTCTTCTTTAATGGATCTCTTATAATATTTGAATTTCATTTTGTAGGTTATTGGTGTTTTAAGCACTTCTGTCCTCTTTGATGGATCTCTTATAATATTTGATTTTTCATTTTGTAGGTTATTGGTTTTTAAGCACTTCTGTCTGCTTTAATGGATCTCTTATAATATTTGACTTTTCATTTTGTAGGTTATTGGTGTCTTAGATGTTAGTAGAAGCAAAGAGAGGTCATATGAGACAATTGTGAAGGAGGGTTTTTGTGATGAGGTGAGGGATAATTATCCAGTTAAACTGCTCTTCTTACCATAATATTATTATATTTTTAGAGCTACTGCACATATTTTTCTTGCCCAACGGGAATACAGATTCTTCTCTTCTTGTCATCTTTCCGAGGTTAGTTTATCGAGTTGAGATGTTAGTGTATCATGCACAGAGTTCACTTTGTTATCTTTATGAATTATAATAAACAATTTAAATCTGAGACAGTATTTAACTTTTACTTCTGGATTGCATTGGAAATAGACTTTTACATACTTTTCTTTTGGATGGCTAATAGTTGGATGAGCTGAGGCAAATCTACGAGGAATTGCCTGAATTTTTGGAGGAGGTGCATTTTGCATATTTTAAACATCAAAAAGTGTTCACAAGTTGAATTTACAAATGAGTTCTTCATAAATTCACCACTTTTGACAGGTTTCATCAATGGAACTTGCTCAATTTCCTCAGCTGTGTAAAGACAAGCTTGCCCCTTGTATAGTCTACATACATCAAATAGGTCCGCATTCTTTCCAGAGCATTCACTTGAAAAGATTTCTTCAAACTATCCATATTTTGTAGGCATTTTTGGTGGAAAATTGAGGCTGAGTGTATGAAATGGCCTATTAAAGGGATTTAATGCAATGATTATTAAGGAGAATTATAATGGGTGCCAAACCGAGCATAGCTCAAATGGTTAAGGCACCTATCTCTGACCAGAAGGTCATGAGTTCGAACCCCCACCCCCACAATGTTGTACTAAAAAAAAAGATTATTAAGGAGAATTATAATGGGTGGCAACTTACAAATATAGTACAAGGAATAAGATTTTAAAAATATTACAGTTTTTGGGGCAGATGTCTATCAATGTCTATTGTTAAACATCTATTAGTTTCTATCAGTGATAGATGTCTATCACCGATGGACTTGCGGGATAAGATATGGTTATGGTCTTTTTAAAAATTCTCCCATATTTTGCAAATTCTTTTCAGCTTAAGCTAGATTTGCTATTATTTTGGGTCAAATTGTTATATGTGCAGCCGCCCCGATTATTAATGTGCTGTCTTCCCATGAAAAGAGCCCAGGGCATAATTACTACCATCCTTTAATGTAGTGAAAATGGAAAGGAGAAAGAAAAGTTTGTTTTATATAGCATGTCACTGTTATGCATATATTGCATGTTTTCGTTCTTTCATTCATTTTCAAGAGATCGGAGCCTGGACTTTTATATCTCTCTCTCCCCCTGCCGACCCCCCTCCCCTCCTCCAGGATATCTATTGTGCATATTTGAAGAGAAACTTGACGAAAGCACACTAGAGACCCTAGGAGATTTTGAATTTGCTGTAAGTTGATGTTAGATCGAATTATTGTAACAGATAATTCTGATAGTGTTCTATCTGCTTTAGCTAAAATCTTTACAAATGTAGTTCTCTGATGTGGATGAAGAGATAAAGAGATACTTTTACCATAGTCCAAAAACACGAGAATTGGACAATCTGCTTGGAGACATTTATCATAAAATTTTAGGTATTATTGTTCATTCTCTTTGTTCGTATTTCTCTTAATTTCTTGCAGCAGATTATTTTAAGATTTTTTGTTGGTTGGTATATAGTTCAGAAGAATTGAATAAAAGTTTATGCTTAGTGCTAAATTCCAATTTATGTACAAAGTTAGCACTTCACAATTGGAAATTAAGAAAGGGAAGAGTAATTAATCTTAGTTTCCATAGTCATGTCCATTAACTTACTCTTTGACCTTGCCTATATTGATGCCTAGAAGATATGGAGAGGGCAATTATCAGAGACTTGGTGTCACATGTACTTGTTTTCTCTCAGCATCTGCTCAAGGCTGTAGATTTTGCAGCAGAACTTGATTGGTACTTATGCTCTCCCGCATACACTTTGTGCATTTTGAACATACATCAATCATCTTCATGGTTTTGTACAGCTTTTTATCACTAGCACTTATTGCTCGTCAGAACAACTATGCAAGGCCAGTTTTAACTACGGATAACATGCTTGATATAAAGAATGGAAGGTTGGAACTTTTGGATCAACGGGTCACGTTGAATATAGTTAGGCATACTTTGATAAGAATACTTAGATCAGTATAGTACATTTGTTGTAGGCATGCTTTGCAGGAAATGGCGGTAGATACGTTTATTCCAAATGACACGACGATTTTTGATCATGGTAAATTGATGGTGCATTGCATTACATATCTGTATTCAACTTCAAACTAGAAACACGCATCCGTTCCTATTAATTTTCAAGTTCATGTCTTTTCAGGAAGAGTTAATATCATTACTGGTCCAAATTATTCTGGTAAAAGTATCTACATAAAACAGGTGAATAATTTTTCCTTTCTAAAGCAGTGTGCTGTCTTCCTGTTTCTCTCCACGTTAATGCATATTTGGTAAACTTATTCTCTTTCCATGGAGTTTCCATCTGCAAACGAAGTAACAATATGGGTCCATATATGGTCTTTAAAGGTATAGATATGTTCAAAGATAATCCATTGCAGAGTGAAGATGTTAACTTATAAGTGCTTTCACCCCTTCTTGCAAAGTTATAGCTGATTATCCTTGGCACATACTTGCCACTGATTTAGGCCATTCTTCTCGAATGATCAGTTAAATATGGCAGAACAATTTTCATGCACACTGTCATTATTTTTAAGTTTATATTTCTTGTGATTCATGTGTTATTGATGCTTTGTGTATTCGTGGAGCCTTTAAGGCAAGTCCGGGAGAGTTGGGGCAACCAAGGGAGTAGTAGATATTGTAGGGATATTTTAGTATTTTGTACATATGAAATTGTCTATCGTGAGATTATCATTGCAGGTTTGCTTATCCAGTATAGTATGTGAGTGAGTTAATGATAGAAAATTGTAATAGGAGGAAGGTGTTAAAAAACCACTCCATCTAACAACTTAAGCGACATTTAATCTTTTATTCATGTTAATTGAGAAGAAAAGAAAATAATTCTTACTTATTCTTTAAAGAGCTTATACAAGGAGATAAAAGGATATAAATAGCAGCTACAAGAAGAAGAACAAAACAAAATCCTTGTCTATTAGGATAAGAAAACACTTTCCTATTAGAATAAGGAAACTCTAACCTATTAAAAAAAATTAACACAATAAGAAATTAAAATATAACAAATATAATTTAACACTCCCCTTGAGCTGGTGAATGAATATTCTCCATTCCCAACTTGTTAACCAAATGCTCAAAGTTGTTGTTCAATCCTATCGTAAGGATATCTGCTATTTGATTATTTTTTGGCACAAATGTAGTACATATATGAGGCCATTGTATAACTTTTCTTTTATGAAGTGGCTATCAATCTCCACATGTTTGGTTCTATCATGTTGAATTGGATTATGTGAAATGTTGATGACAGACTTATTATCACAGTAAAGTTTAATAGGCCATTTCCATGGAATTTTCAAATCTTCTAAAATAATCTTTATCCAAAGTAATTCATAGATATCTAATGTCATAGCTCTAAATTCTGCTTCTAAACTTGATCTTGCAACTACATTTTGCTTTTTACTTCTTCATGTTACTAAGTTTTCACCAAAAAAGGTACAATAACCAGAAGTTGATTTCCTATCGTCTATCGATCTTGCATAATCTGCATCTGTATAAACTTCTAGATTAAGTTTCTCGTCTTTTTTAAACAACAATCTTCTCCCAATGGAGTTCTTCAAATAGTGAAGTTTCTGGTACACTGTTTGAAGGTGAACTTCTTTTGGACTATGCATAAATTGACTTACCACACCTACAGCATACACAATATCTGGTCTTGTATGAGATAGATATATTAATTTTCCTACTAACCTGGGTAAGTTTCTTTATTTACTGGAGGACTCTCTTCGACTGCACATAATTTATGCTTGGATCAATCGGTGTTCCCATTGGTCTGCTACCAAGCTTTCCTATTTATGAAAGTAGGTCTATCACATACTTCTGTTGTGATAAAAATATGCCCTGTTTAGAATATGCGACTTCTATCCCAAAAGTTCTTTAACTTCAAACTCATGGATCAAACAATTTCTCAAATTATCTCGTTCTTTATTATCATTACCAGTGACAATAATACCATCTACATAAACAATTAGTATTGTCACTCCCTGCAGTAGAATGCTTTATGAATAATGTATGATTTCCTTGACTTTGTTTGTAGCCTATCTTCTTCGTAACCTGAGAAAGAATTCTAAACCACGCCTTAGGAGATTGCTTTAGTCCATACAATACTTTTGTTAGTTTACACACCTTATTTCCTGCTGTCTCATACCCAGGTGGAACTTCCATATAAATTTCCTCTTCAAGATCACCATGCAGAAAAACATTTTTTACATCATATTGTAACATATCTCATCCATGATTTATAACAAGAGATAATAGTATTCGTACCGTACTCATCTTGGCAACATGTGCAAAAGTTTCAAGATAATCAATTCCATAAGTTTGAGTATATCCCTAAGCAACCAATCATGCTTTATACCTCTCAAGTGTTTCATCTGCTTTATACTTCACAGTATATACCCATCGACAACCTACTGCTTTCTTATCTTTAGATATGGTAACTAACTCCCATGTTTTTATTTTTTTCTAAGGCCTGCATTTCAAGATTCATTGCTTGTCTTCATTCTTCATGTTGTACAACCTCTGTATATGTTTTTGGAATATTTATTTAAGGTTAACCACAAAGCTTCTATACTGACTTGAGAGTTTGTCATAGGATACAAAGTGTGACAATGAATACCGAGTGCAAGTTCGTTTTCGTTTCCTCAAGGCGATAGGCAAATCTATATCTGATTCATTATTAGCGGATATTGTAATGTATGGTTCATCATTGAATCTTTTCTCGACAATTTCAGTTCTAGATATATGTTCAGACTCTTGGACTTGCTCAGTGTTCCTTCTTGAATAAACCTGTAACGGTACAATAGCAAGAGGGTTAGATGGCCCTAGAATTTCAGTGGGGTTTAGTACTTGTGATGGATTTGGGTTTAGTACTGGTGATAGTAAAGGGTGTGAAGGAAATGTGAGGTTAGGGATGGGTAAATCATCCTTATCTTCCAACAATATTTCCTCCCCCTGAAGATAAGGTGAGGTAAAGAAGCTGGTGTCTTCGTAAGAGTAATATTGGCAGAGATGAAGTACCTTTTAGAAGGAGGATGATAACACTTATATCGCTTTTGGATGTTCGAGTATCCAACAAAAATACATTTGAGTGCTAAACCCAAATCCTCCTGCTACTGTACCATTACAGGTTTATTCAAATTTTTATCGTGCATTTGATGCCCTTTTATTATTACTAGGAAAGGGGACCCGTTTGTGTTTAGCAAATTCACAAACATCGCATTGAATTAACTCAGGATGAATATTTTGGAACAAATCAGGAAACATAATTTTAAGGGTTCTAAATGAGGGATGTCCTAGTCTATAATGGTGCAACCATAGCTTACTTGAAATATGATGAGTTTGTGAGGTGAGAGCGAGTGGAACAATATCCTGACCAGTAGGTTCCTCAAGATAATAAAGACCATTTTTTTCTTTAGCAAGTCCAATCGTCTTTTCATTGTTTTAGTTCTGTAGAATACAAGAAGAATTAGAAAAAGTTACTCTGCATCCTAGATCTTTGATCAAATTTTTTACTGAGATCAAGTTGTTAGGTACCCAAATACAAGAACCTAACAAGAACACTATATTGCAATACAAAAGAGTAATTACAATATCGATAGTCTTTTGAGAGGACTATCTCTCTCCAAAAGAACTCTCTCAAGTCCTCATCAAAATGCTATTCTCCAAGATATTCTTCTCCTCTCCCTACTACCCCTATTTATAACAACTCCTAACTAATTAACATAATACCCCCACTAATAATATTCCCAAACTATCCCTATTAGGACTCTCATATTACCCCACCCTTCAAAGACACCTTGTCCTCAAGGTGTGCATACAAACACTAAACAAAATTCTCATACTCGCCCCCAACCCATATTAACAAAAGATGCCGACTGAAAAAATAATCTTCAACAACACAGCAATAACAAGGAATTGCCGCCTGAAAGTCGAAAGAAATCATCTTGAATGGTCCAAAAGGCTGGTTTTGTTGTTCCCAAGTTAGCCATGTACAGAACTCTCTGTTTTCCCAAGTAGGAATCTGCCGAAGTAGTGTCTCAATCCTATCTCAGTGATTTTCGGCTTGAGATGTCCCCACTCCCGATTCTTGATGATACCAAAGTAGACATAAAGAATCTCCCCATGTAGGTGCAGCCCGTCAACCACCCTTACATCCATGTCCGTCTCTCTCGACCAGACTTGTAGATATAAGAAAACTGCAATTCTCACCCAACCTTGTGACCAAAACAGCATAAGTCTTGCGAACGCCTTTCGAACCAGAACCCACAATGTGAACTCCCACAATGAAATAAAAATTGGCATCCATGATGGATTTTTGGATTTGCTCACTTCCCAAGTGCTAGAATTTGTTCGGTTTAGTGTGACACACAAAGTTCCATAGATGGCGCAGCAAGATGTTGAGTTCAGTAGGATTGTAGATGAGAGAATGAGTTTTTGTTTATTTTGGACAAGCTCCTAAAATGATCTCCCATAGGTCGATCTGCGATGAAAGTCATCGTGGGTCTCAAATTTTAGTCTATTTTGTTGAGCCGACTTACAAAGTCGATTTTCTTCACCGCTGTATTCGTTTCCAAGGTGCAAAGACGTCGGCTGCCAGACCTTCATTTTCCATCTTCAGGGCTTTTATGAACAAGGTATTTATTTCTTTTGCACGTTTCCAACGCCGTTCATTCCCGTTCATTCCCGTCGCCGTTCATTCCCGTCGACATCTTTGCAGGTTTCCAACGCCGTTCATTGTACACCAAATCAACGAGGTATTGATTTCTTCTTCCCCCAGACACGTCCAAACCTTCAATTCCCGTCGCTGAATAAACTTTATGTCGATGTCTTTGGACGTTTCCGACGTCGTGCAGCGTGTTCCTCGTCTCCTGCCCCCTTCTGTTTATACCATGGGTAATTAATAGTCTTCCGTTGAGATTGGTATATATGAGGATATATTTTATGTATATGTACAGAAAATGGAAGTTCTAAACGTCTCACAGTATTAGTATTCTTGATTATATTCGTATATATAGGTATATATTGTATATGTGAATATATCTTATATGTGTATACACATATCTTAATAGTTATGTAGAAATGGTCCTCCATACCATTTGTAATTATTAGTCTTCCGTTAAGATTGGTATATATGGGGATATATTTTGTTTATGTGTATAGAAAATTGAAGTTCTAAATGTTTCATATTCTTA